CCCGGGCCGCTTCCTCGCACCGAGCCCGGCCCGCCTCCCACGCAGCCCGCCGGCCCTGCCCACCCGCGAGCATCCGCGCGCGGGCCCGACTCCGCCGCTTGGCCGGCTGTCAGGGCTGGGGGGAGCCCCTGCCCCCCGTGGATGCCAAAACCGCGGAGGGAGGAGGGGAGGGCAGGAGGAGGAGGCGGCCGGAGCCACCCGCGCGGGGGCGATGCCGCGCCGCAGGAGCGGCGCCTCCTGGGTCCTAGGCAGCCCCGCCGCGGCCGGCTACTCCGGCGCCGCGCGCTCCTGGGCGCAGCCGCGGCGCGCGCTCCTCCGCCGGGAAACGCAAACGCGCAGGCCAGAGAGCTACAAAGGAAGGAGATTCAAGGGCAGGCGGCACATCCCTTGGCCTCCTCCCAGGAAGGCATCCTCGCCAAACTACAGTAGAGATTCACAACACAACATTGGGTTGGGCACACCATTTATTTTCGAAAAGTAGATTTGTGGCTTTATTTAAAAATCCTTTGAGAAAAGAACCTCCATGGTTTCCATTACAGATGCGCTAACATGGTACCTTGAGTAACTTTGAATAGAATGAATGATCAGAAGTTACTGGATTGTAAGGGATTTATTCAATCAACAAATGTTTACTGAGAGCATGCTGTATACTGAGCATTATTTCTGACACTGTGATGACCTGGCACAAGAGAGAATATCTGTGCCCTCTGCCAACATGCTCCATCCAAGAGATACTTAATGTTGTCAGTCTCAGCTTTTTACATAAGAACTCCATCATTTGTAAGCACCCATCGTACAGTGTCTGGTCAACAATAAATCGCTTTTACCGAGACTTGTGAAAATATCAGTTATTTTCATTTTCTTTCATCCAACAAAGATCAAGTTCAGAAATGTTTGGTCCTAATGTGGCAAGTGAAATGGTAGAGTATTCAGCACTTGGTTCTCCAAATGGCTCTGGACAGCAAGTCCAAAACTGACCTTTAATGTAGAAAGGCGGAGTTGCTTTTCTTGGGATGAACTGAGTCCTGAGTGAAGGTGGTGCCACCTCGCAGTGCTGCCAGACCTAGCTCTGCCCACTTTTCCTTACCCGCAGCCCCACAGCAATGCCACAGAGGTTTTCTGCTTTGTACACACCATTTCCCCCAGAGCAGTTTTGGGGACTCTCTAGAACCAAGAGTGGGGCATGCTGGGAAGTCAGAGCTGATCTGAGACTTCAATATAGTCTTTGAGAGGAAAATCCTGTCCTATGGTCATGTCCACTGCCGTGAAAGGCTTCCACCCAGATTAAATTAGAATTGCTAGAGATGGGCTTCTCCAGCAGTATTGTTTCAAAAGTACTGCTAATGTACAGCCAGGGTCCCCAACTATAGACTGTAACATTAAGAGTCAAATAGATCAGTGCTTGATCTCAAACTTACATACTCATTAATCGATGCGGTGGAGGAATCTTGTAAAAATGCAGATTCCAGTTCAGTGGGTCTGGGATGGAGAATGATTCTGCATTTGTTTCTCTCTTTGTTCTTTGAGACAAGGTCTCAGTTTCACTCTGTTGTCTAGGCTGGAGTGCAGTGAGGTTATCATAGCTCACAGCAACCTCAAACCTCTGGGCTCAAGTGATTCTCCTGCCTGGTTTCCCAAGTAACAGGGACTGCAGGTACCCCCCATGCCTAGCTGAGAGATTCTGCATTTCTAATAAGCACCCAGGTGATGCCCATGCTGTTGTTGGTACAACTCTTTGAGAAACAAGAGACTAAATGGCAAATTTATTGAGCTAAGGCTCCATCTAAGTTCCAGTAACTTTAAAGCCTGTTAACTTTTTAAGAGGTTTAAGATGGGTATGTTTATCTGAATTGTTATTAGTATTTCTGGGGGAGGGCAGATTTTGTCACCTACTGCTGTAGTAACAAATATCCCAAACTTAGGAATTTACAACAACAAACACGTATTATCTCAACATTTTTAGTAGGTGGGAGTCAAGAAACAGTTTGCATCAAAGTTCTCATATGATTGCAGTCTAGAGGTTGATGCAGGGTCACCTTCACCTAAAGCAGTGGTTCTCAACCTTCCTAATGCTGCGACCCTTTAATACAGTTCCCGTGGGTCTCGACCCACTGGTTGAGAACTGCTGACCTAAAGGTTTGACTTGTGCTAGTAAATCCACTTGCAAGATGGCTCACTCACACAGATGTCCCTGGAGTCCTCAATTCCTTGTCATGAGCAACTTGCCATAGTGTTACTTCAGTATCACTATGACCTGTCAGCTGGCTTCCTCCAGGGCAGGCAACCAAGAGAGAATAAAGTGGAAACCACAGTGTCTTTTATGACATAGCCTTGGAAGTCACATACTGTCATCCCACAATATCCTATACGTTACCTGAGTCAGCCCCGTTCAATGTGGGAGGAGACTACACAAGGGTGTGACTACCAGGAGGCGGGAATCACTGGGGTCGTCTGGCAGACTGGTACCATAGGCTTCAGCCTTTCAAGCTTAGGATGCTAGCATACACATTTTCTTACTCAAAGGTCCTTGATAGGGCTGGATGCAGTAGCTCACGCCTATAATCTTAGCACTCTGGGAGGCCAAGGCAGATGGATTGCTTGAACTCAGGAGTTCAAAACCAGCCTGAGTGATAGCAAAACCCATCTCTAAAAAATAGCTGGTGTTATAGTGGGTGCCTGTTCTCCCAGCTACAGGGGAGGCTGAGGCCAGAGGATCATTTGAATTTAAGAGTTTGAGGTTGCTGTGAGCTGTGATGCCAAGGCACTCTACTAAGGGTGACAAAGTGAGACACTGTCTCAAAAGAAAAAAAAAGCTTCTTGATAAATGATTTGTCCCTTCTTAAGTAATAAATACAATTATATAATATTTCAGTATCTTGACATTATCCCCTAACATTATATCCCTAACTTACACAAAGGTTACTGCTTTTCAGCAGAGTTGGGGAGGAAGACAAAAGCTCTGAGAAGCACATCTGACTTCTGATCATTCATCTTCCCAGAGATGGGAAGGTGATTGCAAGGTCCACCAACTCTCTCTGCCAGGTTCTAATGTAAAGGGGCTTCATTAGGAGGGGCTGGCCCCAGATGCCTCCTCACTATCTGGAAGCTTGCTTTGAACTTAGCTGGCTCTTGGTTTTGAATTCTCTACACCTTCTCTTCACCTCCCTTAAATCATTAGTAACACTTGTTTGAATAAATTTTTATGCAGAGTACTTTAAATGGCTTTTTTTTTTTTTTTTTTTTTTTTGCTACAAACAATTCAAAAATGTCAACCCACCAGGACTTAGATATCATAGAGATCAGCCCTAGCAGAAGTGCGTCCCTGTCTTTAAAATAGAAAAATTAGCCTGGCGCAGTGGCACACATGTCTGTAGTCCCAACTACTCAGGAGCCTGAGGCAGGAGAATCCCTTGAGCCCACAAGTTGGAGATTGCTGTGAGCTATACTCTCCCCAGCAACAGAGTGAGACTCTGTCTCTTTCAAAAGAAGGAAGGGAGGAAGGAATTAAATCTAAAAACTCTTCTCCCTTTTGCGTGATTATTAACAATCCCTTTATGCTCTTCATATGTAATAAATTAAAATCATAGAATATCTACTGGATATGACTCTTTTTGTTTGGTAATATGTAAGAAGGGTCTTCTAAAAACCACTTGGGGCAGAAAAGGAAAAATGATAGTTGTCTTTGTTCTGTAAGCTTCTCTTTGGATTGCACAGGTTAGCAATAGTTTTAGAGCTGACTTTAGTGAAGTGCTAACTCCTCCCTCTGCTCCATCACAGCCCCCATTTCACCTTGACTAACAAATACAATGCAAATTTTTCTTTAGCATAATTTGTTTGAATGAGAGGGCATCAGATATATCAGTAAGGGTCTTTATGAAAGAAAATTGCCTTGAATACTTCCTGGTTTTGCTTCATCCTACTTTATCTCTGAAATTCCGTGGCTGTTCCTCACTTTTGGCCAGGAACTTCTGCAGTTAAAGGCAATTTTCCAGCTACTCCATTACCTATTATATAAAGGATGCCTATGAACCTTTTAGTTTGTACTTCGCGGAGACTTTCTGCTGCCTCATGTTTTCATTCCTGTTCACTGTGTGCCAGGAATTTCTCCCAGACGTAAAAAACGATGAAACAACTATTTTCATTGAAAGCACCTGGTGATTAAAGACTTGAATTTTTGAAACTAAGCATGATTTTTATTTCATAATCTTTATTGATTATACATTTTAATGCTTTCTGTTAATTTTTAACGGGTAAAGGTATAAAGTAAGATAGTTCAGAAAGAGATTCTCCATCTGCACCATGTTCTCTGTACCCAGACTGGAAAAAAAATCTCAAATTTTCCTCCTTAGTTGTTTCACCTTGGAAGCTTTGCTATCTTTTTCACCCC